GGTCATCCTGAGGTCATCCCTTCGTAGGGCATGGCCCGGGGGCCGCAGAGCATGCTCACAACAGTATAGTCCTGCCCGGTAGACCATCATGTGATCGGATGCTATAAGTGCAATGATTGAAAATTCCACCCCGAGTGAATCTCGATTCAAGCGCATCGCGATTCGCCGGAACTCGCAACCTAGGATTCGACCCTTGATTGCGGACTTTAGACCTACCAAAAAGCTGCCACGTGTTTTGCAGGCTATGCTTTATGGCGATGCCTGCAACCATGGCCGAAGAAATTTAGGATAAGAAGCGTCCTTTGCGCGGGAGCACTTGCGACTCGCGAACTCACGGTTCACCTGAAATTCTGCGCCCTTTTTGCGTTTGAAGAGCTGGTCAACGCTTGGAAGATCTCAAAGTTGGATGAAACTTGGAAGTTCCAGGAACAACCTGAGCACTCGATGTCCGTCAAAGTTGCATAGATCTTGTGAACGTCAAATCAAAAACTACCGTGAACTCTTCGAAGATCCAATGACGACGGTCCTAACTTTTGAACTCGTGACTTGCCTGGCGAGTTGCCTCGAAGTTCCCAGAACGTTCGAACTTCGATGGAAAGGTGGAGCCTCGATCAGAGGCAAGGGCCAGGGCAGCAGGCAAGGGGCATTTTGAGGTTCTAGAAGGGCCAGTGTATTCATTAAAAGGTACTTCTTAATAGCTTCCTCTAAAGAAGGAGAAGTGGTGTCTGCATGGTTCTTGTGTGCCTTGACTCGGCACTGGCGAGTCCTCTAGTTGTTCCCAGCAGAATTGGCCCTCCGTACGGAAGCATCGTAACGGCGCTCTTCTCGTAAAACGTTGTGCATATGCGGGCTTGCTAATCGAGAACCAGGCTCAGCACAGTCGCATCTGCATGGCTCCGTTTTTGGAGGAGTCGCAGGCAGGATCGGCCCTGCGGTTCAAGGTTTCATACCGGGGAAAGCTGCAAGAGCTACACAGAGAACCTTCCGAGATGCTGGCTGGACTAGCCCACCACTTAGGCGAGGTTACTGGTGCCAATCCAGATACAATCAAGCTGATTCTACCAAGGAGCAGGAGAGGGGTTCCTGGAAAACCTGCACCCCCTGCCCTGCAACCCTTGAGTGATGAGTGGAGGGGCTTGACACTGGCGGAGGCTGGCATTACTCAGGTTAGCATCTGAAATTGATAACTCCGTAAAGTTGCAGCTGGAGAATCTAGGAGAAGTATTGCAGGTCTTCTTTGGCGTGCTCTCGATAGACGGCTTGTGACACGGCGCTTGAATCCTTGGTGTTATGCACAACATTTTGCAATCTTCAGAACAATGGTGAAGGCCATGTGAGAAATTCTGCAAAAAGCAAGGAGCCTGTCATCAGCAGAAGTCTGGTTTTTAAACCGTTTGGCACCGGATCAGAAGTTTCACAGCGTTGCCCTGAGGTGTCACTTCTCTGCCTGTGACCATATTGACGCTCTGCCTCTTGAAACATACAAGATCCTTGTTAAACCCCTATATTCGTCGTGTTGCCACCATGACAAGTTTCTACTGCCCCCATTCCTTTTAGTAGCTCGTCTAGCCCAGAACAAAGAGTGGAGAAGGCTGCATTGAAGAACTCTCACTTCATGGAGCCCCATGCTGAGCAATTGAACTTCTGTATCACAGGACATGACCATCCTCATGTCTGGAGCTTCCACCACCGAAGTGGCGGCTGTGAGCAAGACCTCTGCGGCGGGCATCGCTGACTTTGAGTATGAGGAGAAAAGGGCACGCATGCGCGCGCGCAGGAAACGCGCTCCCCTGGCCCTGCCCACTGGGCCGTATGTGTTTGCGGATTTCAGGACCCTGCAATTGCCTGGCATCTTGGTAAGGAACCAAGCCCCATGTCTCTGCTGGTGCATGTGCTTGCAACGTGGCACAACCTTGTGTGAGGGTATGTGAGTTTCCATCAAAGTTCTGAGGAGGCTCTTGCCAAGCAAATCCTGTATGCTCTTTGCCCTTAGCCAATCCTTCCGTTCACCTTTCTGTCGCCTCCCGCGCCCTTGCATATGGTTTGCAGCAGACTTGAGGGTTGCTAACAATTGCTGTGGTTTTGCAGCTGCATCCGCCAGAGACCAAGGCACTGAAGCTCATGCACAAGCTGGCCAGCGATCCCGGTGTCGTTGCCATAATGAACAAGGTGAGCCTACGATCTTGCTAAGAGCCTCAACGACTTGCAATTAACCTATAGTTTCGTCCCTACTTATGCTTGTGACAAGTCTTAGAGAACGCAGGGTGTTGACCAATATCTCTCTTTGGCTTTGACTTGATAACCGCTTGTTCTGCAGAGACTCAAACGTTCATGGGTGATCTAGAGTCAGCCCTTGAGTTGGCCGTGCCGATGTGAGTTGTGGATACCAGAACGTTTCGGTTCCATGTTCCTTTCTGATGCCGAGTTCCGCAGCTCGAGAAATTGGTTCGTCCGTTCTGACAACCGGTTCTTTGTGGTCCGCAGTACAAGTGGCGCGTGGGCATTATGACCGAGCTGGCCCCCGAGGGCTACGTCGGGGTGAGCCCCGTGTGCCTCCTGGGCTTCAACCGTAACCGCGGCGCCGAGATCTCGCTCCGCCTGCGCACCGACGACCTCGCCGGGTTCCGCAAGTATGACAGCATCCGGAAGACGCTGCTCCACGAGCTGACGCACATGGTGCATGATGACCACGACGAGCACTTCAAGGCGCTGAACAGTCTGCTCAACAAGCAAGCAGAGGAACTAGATTGGACGCGGAAGCGGGCGCACACCCTGGGGGGCAAGGCGGCTACTGAGAGCGATGAGGACGAGTCGGAGAGCAGTGACGAGGAAGTGGGGCGGGTTCTCGGAGGGGGGGGGCAGAATACACTGGTGATGGACCCCCGGGCAGCAGCAGCTGCTGCAGCGATGAGGCGGGATGCTGAGAAGAGGAGGCGGGAGGCGGAAGGGCAGCCGACTGCTGACGTGGCGGATGATGTCATTATGGACGATCCAAGCGTGGGGAGAAGCGGGCTGCCAAGTTCTCCGCTAGTAGGGGGAGTCTCAGGAACGATTGTGGATGTCGGCAGGGAGAGCTCGTCGGAGGTGGAAATAACTGAAGGAACGACGGGGACAGGCGCGTCACGGGGGGCGCAGGAGAAAGGCCACATCGACGAAAAGGATGTGAAAGAAGGGCAGCAGAATGATGATAGCGCTCGGGAAGGTGCAGCGAGGGGGTGCCGACAGTCGAGCGGATGCAAGAGGAGCCGAGCACTGGAGGCGGGGAGCAGACAAGTGAAACGGGAATCACGGAAGGTGCCTCCATCGGGGCTGCGGGCTCAGTTTCTGAAAGCGGGGATATTCAGCTGCAGAAAGGGGATGAGGTCACGCCTTCGAGAAGAGAACCCGACCCAGACGATCCTGACGATACCCTTCTGGAACTCAGGCACGATCAGGACGTAGCAAAGAAGCAAGCCGAATTAACGTCTCAGCTGAATCGAATGGAAGAAGAGGAAACGGACGGGAGCGAACCGATGACTGTGGACGCACCACTTGCGGCGCCGGCGCCGGGGCCCAGTGAGCAGGTGCCACGTGGCAGCGACGACGCGGCAGCTGGCGGTTTGGAATGGCAGCGGGCTCAGGAAGCTGCGGCGGAGGCGAGCGGGCGGGTGCAGAAAGCGGTGGCGGATTTGAGGCAACAGGCCGGACCGGGGGAGGTTACGCTAACCCTGAAAACGCTGGCAACGATTCTTCGCAATGTGATGGAGCACCCGGCCGAGGCGAAGTACCGGCGGGTGCGCAAGACGAATGCGGCGTTCTTCGAGAGGGTCGGCAGGTTCCAAGGTGAGCTCGGAGGGGCGTACTGTGGTAGGGTTTTCGGATTTGGTAGTGGATACTTCAGCGATCTGGGAGGTAATCTGTGGCAAAGTGGCGCGAAATAGGTGACGATTCCAGAGAATGGCAGCACTTTTACGACAGGTCTGTAAAACGGCGGATTTGTGGATGCTGAAGCACTTCAAACGTGAGCAGGCTCCCTTCTTGACTGTTTAAATTGTGGTTGGGGGTTCCGATTTGTTAGGTCTGCCTGGCAATCCGGATTAGTTCTGCTGCTTTACCCGTTAGTGTTTGCTTGCCGATCTGGTAAGTTCTCCTGCTTTGACGACTATCGGCCAAATGTTCCCCCGTTGAAGATATCAGAGGCCAGTCGAGATCTCGTTTACTGACTAGCTCTATAAACGAGGGTCGAGCTTGGTTGTCCCCTTTGGTGTCGCCCAGCAGATAAAGGGAAATGGCCGTGCTTTTTCGATTGGCGACTTGTGCAGATTTTTGTCGGGTATGATTGGCATTGCAGCGACCTGGACGTTGGTTCGTGTTCTGTCGCTCATGGATTAGTAGTGGTGTGGTTTGCAAAATGTGGCCTCGTAAAAGCAAGTTGACGACCGAAAATCTGTGGCGTGGCTCGTGTGGCATTAAGGCAAGGCTGCTGCATCGAAGCTTGTCGGCGTCTAGACCTGTTATCCTGTCAACATGCCGTTTGATTGGAATGGTTTCCCTTTGATTGGAAGGTTGCTGATGGTGTGCGTATCGTGTCTGCAGCGGCACTGGAGGTCCTCCACGCGGCGGGCTTCAGAGAAGACGGAGCTTCCGACAGCATGGTGCTTCAGCGAGACGATCCAGGCTTGCTGTGGCTGACCTGCTCGTTCGTAGAGGGGAGTCTTGCATAAGCGCAACGAAAAGAGACAAATTCATCACCTTTTGCGTCAGAAGCCCTTGCGGAGAGGTTCAGCAATCACCTATTTGACGAGCCGAGGGTCAAGTCTCTAGCCGTGTACAATCTGAGGCCTCGTAACTTGGAGCTGGAAAAACGACCGAGGTCAAGTACATTACACATAGTCCCCTTCTCTTTGTGTAAAGTGCCTTCGCGACCGTGTCAAATATCAGGACTTAACACTAAGGTTATCAGATATGAAAGGTTGCTGCTGTACAGGCACTGGCAGGTGCAAATATTCTTAAATGCGCATGTGAATGCAGTGCAGGACAGGGCCAGAGCGACGATTGAATTGGATCGTTCAGGAGTAGGTTCCGAAGCGTCGTGGTCGACGACCTCGCTTATCAAAGAATCGCCAAGGGGGTTCTTTCTTGTGATCGGAATTTGTTGTTTGATGCATTGGCCGCAGATTTTTTTCCATTCTTCTTAATTAAAGATTGTTATGCATGCATGATGCCATGGCTTATGCATGCCACTGGCAGCACTTCTTACAATTAATTAGCGTTGAAGAATTTTGCCAGCTCAACGCGCGTACGCTTATTAGGTATTGCATCCGCGCTGGCTTCCCTGACTGCATGAGTCGATCCTTAATTAAGTTTCGGATCAGCTAGTCGCAGTCGGTTTCTGGCTTGTATTATGTAACTTACATGTAGGATGGCAGCATCGAGTGGTTGGAAATGGAGATGTTACAGAACGTCCGCACATAGCTGCCTGTTTTCATTGCGAAATTCTAGCTCGCATAATCCAAGTTAGCATGTTCCAGGGATGATGTACGAGTTCTAATATGCCATCCTCAGCTATACTTATTAAATTAGTTACATTGCGGCAGCTGGCTGACGCCAATTGAGTGGGAAAATAACAATCTACGTTGTGCGAAGTAATCAAGCCCTAGCTAGATAATCTTCCACCATTTCACGCATGTGGATGATCGGAATCGCGATCCAATCAATCGCATGCACGTACTGCCCGCACACGTCTATCTTGTCCTCTCAAATTGCTTGCAATTTGCAGCGGCTGGGTTGTTGTTCACAGGGGTAACACACATATCGGTGGTAGACAGCCAACTGATCCTCGACCAAGGACGAATTCGGCCGTCTGCCCACATGTTGTTTTACCGCGCTTTCAACTGATCTTTCCAGTGAGTTCTGTTGTGTTCACAATCGCAGTTCTCAAAAGCCGCCTCAAACTTGTCTCCTTGACAGAAGGAGGACAGAAGCTGGGTGTATACAATCGGTAAAAGACGAGGAAAGTGCGGAATTACGAAGTGTTCAAAGTGGTCACTCGAAGATCTCCAGCAGGCAAACTTGCAGCTTGTTTGGACGGAGCTGTTGGCGTTAATATGAGTACGTCTTCGTCAGAAGATCGAAGACGAGCAAGTATGAAGTCGAAGATCCCGAAGCAGCGTTCTCAGGGTTTTGTCGGTCGGAGATTGTCTCACATGACAACGAAGGGTATAGTCACTCGAGCTTCCTCCAAACAAAAGCGCCGTAGCTTATGATGCACTTTTCACATCGGTGTCGTAAGTCGTATTCCGCTCAGTACCTCTTGAAGAGGCTCCTTATGGCAAGATACACACATTTCAAAAAAAAAATGCAGTCCTCAAAAGATCGTAAAGTAACTGTGGCAAGCAAGGGATGGAGATCACTTCTGGGTCTCAGACAGAGTGGTGACTGGAAGACCATTATGCGGGAGTAATTGCTTGAGCGACTGTGCACGTCGCTTTCCCGGTCGACGAAGGCAGCCGTTGCTAACGGCACCCCGCGAACTGAGGTTTCTTTTCTGAACTCCGACAGAGAGGGGATCGAAGAACTTCAGGCGGGAGCGACCGCCAGAGCGAATGTCTGGCTTTCCCGGTCAGCGGAGGGCAGCCGTTGCCGGCGGCCGGGCAGCAGAGGAAGACGAGATCTGTATCCGACTTCTAGACTTGAGCAGCCTAAGGCATTAACAACAGATGCCTGATACCATGTTCAGGGGTTTGCCAGGCCGTAGTACAACGCGTGCAATTGCCGGGCAATACGTCGTGCTAACTCAGTGTACATATAAGTGCATAAGTAAGGCTACGATGTTTCACCCATGCGCCAGAGCACGCTGATGGAGATTGAAAGTTCATGGGCATCAACCCGAGGCCGAACCAGGTCCTGCCGTTTTGCTGGGCCGGCCGACTGAATGGTCTGCTCGAAACTATATCTTTTTATGCCTTAAGTGTATGGACGAGAGCAAGCTTTTCGATTTGGCAGGCTTTATAGCAATCTTTATTCCGCGCTGGACTGCATACGCTGGACATTCCAAGCAATCCTTTACGATGCACTTCGACAGATCGCCGAAGGGGTCGGTCAGTCCTCCGGACGACGTCTTGTTTTCTTTTAACAAAGAATGAACCTCTCCGAAGTACTTCCTCTTTGTTGAAGAGCCATGTCCAGTAGATTTTCCCAGCGTCCTGGCAACGCATCGCCCAAGAATGCGCAATCCATAGCGACAGTGGGCGACTTCACGTGTTCAGCAGCCGCTGGCCGGCGCGGTCCCGCAGTTGGGCAGGCACACCCCCTTTGCTCCGATACGGACCGCGCCGCAGCTGCCAGCACAGTTGTACCCGGCGAGGCAGTCTGAGTCCACGGTACAGCTCCTTTTGCACGCGGCGCACAGGACGTTTGCCTGGCAGACAGTCGGGCTGGGAACACTTCCTCCCACGTAATCGCCACACGCGCAATGGGCTTCGCCGGGGCCGAACGGCGTCGGGATGTCGGCGCACTCGGTGTTGGTTCCGAAACCGAGGTTGCGACACGCCAGTGCTACGGTTCCTGCCAGTTATCAAGGTCCTGAGATCCAGTCAACATTTCGATCCAGTAAGATTTCAAGACATGATTCAGCAGCCTAGTGCAAACGCAGACGTTTCTCTTGAAAGGCCGATCGTGAGGGCGATCGTCATCCAGGACAAATCAGGGAAAGCGAGACGCAAACTCGTGAAATCAGATTAGCTGGCGGCCAGACATGGAGCAACTGCAACCTCTCGTTCTATCTGCTACCTTTCGTTCTATCTGCTGATTGTTATGAACCCGATGGGAGCAGGGTATCAATTCGCGTCACAACCGCCGACTTCAACAAACGGGTCCTCTTCGCTGAGGTTGTCCAGACAGCTTCAACGAGAATACGAACAGGACCTTATATGGACAAATGATATCCACAGCGCCAATAGAAATCAAGGGCATAAAAGGCACACGAGGCGTCGTCTCTGTAAGTTTCGTGGGCTCTTACGCTGACGAAATTTCCTGTCTTCCGCAGAACACGCCTATTTTCAGCCGTTAGACTGAACGGTTTTCGACCAAATCTGAAGTGCCAACGGGGGCAATCAGTGCGTTTACCTGGCAAGGGAGTCGGCACGAGAGTGGTCGGCAGAGGGAGAGTCGGCAGGGGAACGGTTGGAAGAGGGAGAGTTGGCAGAGGAGTGGTCGGTAAAGGGGTAGTGGGGAGAGGAGTGGTCGGTAAAGGAGTGGTCGGTAGAGGAGTAGTCGGCAGAGAAGTAGTTGGCGGAGAAGAAGTTGGCAGAGGAGTGGTCGTTAGAGGGAGAGTCGGCAGAGGAGTGCTGGGCACAGGAAGAGTCGGAATAGGAGTGCCGGTCGGTGACATCGCCGATGGACAGTTGCGACTGCAGGCTCCCGGACAGCACACCCAATCATAGACTGACGAGGCCCCCACTTGCACGACGTCGCAGAGGGTGTTGTCCGGAGGGCAAGTGAGGCCTACGTCAGGAAATGCTTCAGCTTGTCAGCGAACTGAGTCTCCGAAGCTCCAATTAGAAGGTTGGCAAGGTGCGGCTTCCGAATCGAGGTTTGCCAAGGGTTAGGAGACCCCTCCAGCGTCTTTAAGGCACCGTCGCCTTCAAAGCAGATCCGCAGGAGTCAACAAGGGGTACGAGGTTTCTAGGCCCGCCATTGCGGTGAAATGGAGTCAAACAGAAACTCCATAAATCTTAGCAAAGAACATTCGACTCTGACCTGGTAATGATCACTGATCGGTGAAGTTTCTACTTCATCAGACCATTGATGCAGACGGTTGAAGAATCTGTCGTACTACGAAGCAGATTTCTAGTTCGGCTCTGAGTTGCACGATTCAAGACTCTTGGAAACTGTGTCAAAGGAGAAAAAAACAGTCAGGCTTAGTTTGTCGTCGAGCTGGCGATATGTTGGGAGTCAAGTCAAGCTGGCTGAGCGCGCGTCTTACCACGAGCATCAACGAAGGGAACTTGATTGGTTGGGGAAGCGACGTTGTTGCATCCAATCAAAGTCATGGGGCATGGCGTGTCAGGGTATCCAGCGTTGGGGCAGCAGCCCGCAAAGGGGGCGTTGACAAAGATTGGCAAGGGGAGAGGGCAGAGCAGGTTTTGGGGCGGCGCACACACCGGCGTGGAAGTATAACCTGCAAAAGAAGAATAAGTCTGGCTGAAGCCGATGTAGTTGTCGGGCCATTCAGAGTGATTTGCGCAAAGTGGAGAAGCAGTTCATTAGACTTCGCTTCGAAAATCAAGGTAGACGTCAGCTCAAATGAGAGAGTAAGTCAATGAGACCTTTCCTGCAAGAAGCGTGCAGCATTCTAAGAGGCCGCTTTGCGGAGCTTTGCTCTCTTTTGCTTTGCTTTACTCGCCCTAGCTTAGACAAGAGAAGTACTCGCAGAACCGCTAGCGGTCATCTGAGGCACACCCACAAAGATTGATCTACATATTGGTCTATGTGTCTGTGGGTGCCAATACATAGATCAACTCAGGCACTAGTCGAGATTGCTGACGGTAGGACGGTTCATCTTCGAGATGATTTAATCTCTTGCGAGTCGAACGTTTGACGAGACGACAAGGTATTGAGAGTACAGCATGATCAAAACAGACAACGGCCGACTCTTTTCAAGTCAAAGAAGTCACGTACGTTTCCGTTAATCATCTGCTCTGATGAGAGATTGCGTAGATGGAATGTCCCGAAGCACAGATATCATGTGCACAGACTGCATGACAAGCACCCAGTCAGACTTACTCGGGAATGCCTTCCGGAGTACTGTGTCAAACACGGCCTGCATTCAGCAATCAGAAAGTTTCACAGCCCTGATCGAGAAACTGCAAGGCTCCCGCAATCTCCAAGGCTCCCGCAATCAACCCTGCTGTGAAAAAAAAGATGGTCATTATAATTATGCTTCTCCAGAGCAACACGGTAGCACTAGTCTTTGACATCTCACGCTTCTTCAAAGCTCGAGACGCAGCTGATTGTACTCCACTGGCTATCTGCGGCCGGTATACCTGGTTGGAGAGCAATATGCAACTTCGAGCCAAAAAAATACAGATGTCTCTCTTTAAAGTGGCCTGAGCTAAAGGGTATGTTGAGGTCTGCATTCTAACCATTACTAGGCATATGCGATGAGGGAAGAAGGTAAAAGCACGGTTGTTGCATGCTTCAAACACTTCCACGTTCTTATGCTGCAAGCGAAATCTCCAAAGTTATTCTGCCCGATCGCATCTTTGCTTACCTGGCAAGTCGTACAGAATAGGAGCAACAGGATCATTCTGACGAAGAAGACAAAATTTCTCTTGGCTGACGTCATGGTTTGCTGCTTCTGAGCTCTTCGAAAAGCTGTTCAAAGAATGATTTCGCAAGCTTTGCTACCCTCCGAATGATCTGCGCTGTGGTTGGCTCGAAACGGTGATCAACAATAGGCGCGTAACCTTGAGAAGAGAACAGTGCTAGGAAGCGGAAGAAGAGCAATGGAATAGCTGGCTTCATGAAGTCTGGTCTTATAGACGGAATGCTTTCAGTCAAGTGCTTTCCCATAGTGCAAGCTGACTGCTTAGTAAAGTAACGCCGCTTTACAACTGCTGTAGCAAAATTCGGGCCACTGTGGTTCCTGGTTACATATTCCAACGAGACGCATGCCGCTCAATTTTGCACAATTTCCCTGCGCACCGTGACAGCAGGGAGAAGATCAGCTCAGGTATAGGGTCGAGGCGGCGTTTCCCGCCGCTGGCCCTCGAGGTGTGAGCTTGCTATCGATTACGAGGATGTTTCTCCAGAAAGAATTGTCTACGATGGAGAGAACGCAATTGGAAGATAACAAGGGTGCTCTCAGACAATCACACAGGCGGTCACACTATCCATATGTGTGCTCTCAATCCATGCGGTCTCGACCTGTCAAAGTACGTGAAATCGAGGCGATCAATCTTGTGGGCGTCCGACGACGTCTTTCCGACGCTCCCTCATCTTAGCAACCGACGTGTAATTCCGAGGATTGCTTCTTCCACTGCACTGACAGACTATGCACGAGGATCGAACGAGAGGTCTTAAATATTGAATCAAGAAAGTATACACATCTATGTATGGCTAGCTTGCTTGAGGACCAAATGTATGCACAGCCGATGAGGAGGAGACCCTAGAGCGATTACTACGAAACCTGATCAAGCTGTATTCAGCGTTGCATTCTGCATTGATATCTACTCCGTCGATCAATTTGTGATTCTGTTCCTGTGGTGAGAATGGAGAGTTTAACGGATGCAGTGCACTACAGCCTGAAGTCTACTCAGTACTGGCATCCACAAAGTGAAACCTGATCGTGCTCGCAAATATGATCATGTTTGACTGCGGCCTCCATGTTGCTGACAGATCCCGTCAGCTGCAACTGCATGTCCGATCTGCTGTGGCAAGCGTGCATGGATTGAAGATTGCATGATCGAGACTCGATGCCTGCACGTACTGAGTTTGATCCGATCCAATGATCCGACATGTTTATTACTAAAGACTTCAACAATTATTGCGCATAATGAAGGGTTTTGATTGAAGCTAAGCTCGGCGCATATGTGCATAGGCTCGGATGTTACACAACATACACGTGATTGTGTGCACGCGAGATTTGTCCGGCACTGAGTACCGTTCCAGAGCAAGAGCCGAAGCTGATGGATCAACATGATTGTGCACGCAATATGGGTCGCAGCAAGGCATGCATGTGGCTCGAACCAAATCTCCAAGCATTCCGCTGGATTAGATAACGCGGGTGACAAGAAGGTTTCACTTCTACATAATTTCGGTGCAATCCCACATTAATCAGCTGCAACCATAACATGCTCGTGTATGTCAAACAGATGCTGCCTCGCTCATGCATAATGCAACCGTATCCTGTTTGTGAACAGCAACAAGAATGCATTCCATTTGAAGCAAGGCTTGCTGAAGTGGACCTTGCTTTTACTTTGACAGAAACCTTCGTCGAGGCATACAACTACCGAAAGTTGCACTTGGTCTAACTCTCCAATCAAGCATCCTCAGTTCGCTGCACACCTCAGCAGTACATGCTTATGTAATCCCCATGGACGCCATCAGCTTATCATACTCTTCCGCCAGCTTCTTGTCAGTCTCGCCAGGAGGCCGAGGCATCATCTGCGGCCGAGGCTGAAAACCAAATTGCGGGGGAGGGCCTTGCTGCCAGGGTGGCATTTGAGGAGGGGGAGCCTGGCCCATCTGCGGAGCTGGGGGCCTCTGCTGGCCCCATGGGGGGTTTGCGGGACCAGGCATCTGGGGGTTCTGCGCCCAGGGGGGAAGAGACGAAGTTTGCTGAGCGGGGTACATTTGGAATGGACGGGGCCCGCTAGTTGACGGCTCCGGCGCCTTGTTGGCCAGCCAGGGGGGCAGTTTGTTCTCGGCCTGTGGGGGCGGCCCCTGGAAACCCTGAGGAAGGGGTGCACCGAACCGAGGGGGGGGCACGGACATGTAGTTGCCGGGCGGCCGGTTCATGGGGGGCTGGAACTGGGGCGGGGGACCCCCCTGGAAAATTGGCGGAGGGCCCTGGGCAGGAGGCGGCGTCGGCCGGGGCGCAGGGCCCCCCCTGCCCGACAGAATCGCTTCAATGTCCAGCGGGCTCATGCCAGCAAACGCCTTTGACGCGTGCAGGGCCGAGTTGTCGGGGCGGGGCAGCGCAGGATTCTCCATCGGGGGGGGTGGCCGGAAGTCGGGGGGAGGTGCAGGTCGAGCGTAGCCCAGGCCAGGCCGGATGTTGTTTCTTGCAAAAGGTGGCCGCATACTTGGAGCGGCCGCTGTTTGCGCTGCCGGGGTGGCTGCAGCTGCGGGGGCTGCGCCTCCTAGGCCAGTACCGAGCTCCTGAAGGAAGTTCTGGAACTCGTTGTCCATGTTCTGACCCTGCACAGCGAAATGAGCAAAGGGTTTGAGTCCAGAGAGATTGCTCAGCCCAGTTTGTATCGCTGGGGAGAGTTGACTTAGAGCGGCCATTCTGACAAAGTTGCCTTTGGATCTCCAGCCAATGGGAACAAGCCACCTTTTTGCAACACGAACTGAAAAAACCTGAAGCCCTGGGTCGAAAATCACTCCAGTATTGTCCTTCGCCCGCTGCTCTGAAGAAACAATGTCAAATACAACGGCAACGAAACCCATTTCTCCATCGTAGTGGATCAACGTCCAACCAGCTGGATCTGCACGGGTCGATCCGAACTTCGGCATCTGCCTGGTCTTTGAAACTTTGACGAAAACAAGCCCAAGAGTGCTCCTCCATTTTTGCTACCGGACGAGGCAAACATCCGGCTCCCCAAAACAAACGGGCCAATCAGCAGCGACACAAAGGATTCAGTATTGAGGGACGCAAAGAGCAGCCATCCTGCAAGAAGAATAGCAAAGGCTGAATGAGTTGGAAAAAGTCGGGTGCAGGGGTAAAACTCACCATGCCTTTCCTGGGACAGTCCACTGTGGGATGCCCCCCATCCCCGCAGATGCTGCACGTAACCTTGGCCAGGAACGTGGTCAGCTGCTGCTTCGGGCACTTCCAGTCGGGGTGCCCCGGCTCCCCGCAGTTGCGGCACAGCCGATCAAACGCGCGCACCGTTCCGTTCATCTCCGCAAGCTCCATCAGCTGCTTGCGCTTGTGGGCGTTGTGGTGCTCCTGGAATCAGAAAAGAGAAAGTCATGCATGAGTGAGGAATTGAGCACGGTGCCAAGGCCCCTGAAGAAGGAATGTGTGGCCAATCCGAAAAGAAGTACGTGGACAGATTTCTGATGAAATGAGCCCTCATGATCTGCCTTACATACTTCACTGGGAGCCTAGTCTGTTCTCGAGATGGTAGTCTACATTTTCCAATACACGGGAGCTTACGGGCCTCAGCCTGACGAAAGATGCCGCACTTACAGTGCATGGGAAACAAACCGATAGCATGGACAAAGTCTGATAAAAAGTCAACCTTGTTGATGCTCCTGAACTTCCTTTTAAGACTATGCAGGCCACCTCCGACACGATGTGTCTACAGCGGGAGACTTTAGCTTGACCTCAAGATTCGTCCACGGGAATCTGCTTGCCACTTATTCAATGAGAGCATGCATATTCCACAGATCTCATCCAAGCACTCACATCCAGCGGCGTCAGCAGCGGCTCGATCAGCGCCACCGCCTTGTCCACTTTGTCCAGCGAGTCTGCGCTGATGTGCACGTGCAGCTCCTCATCCCAGCCCTCCGGCATCTTCCCATTCTTCATCTTGAACTTGCCGTCCTTTTCCGACCCCTTTCCCCGAATCGCAATCTTGCACCCCGTCTCTGTCTCTAGCCGCTTTTGCGTGTTACCTCTGGGCCCCAGAATGAGGCCGATGAAGTTGTACCCAGGGTACTGCTTGACCTGTGAGCGGATTTGCAGGAGGTTCGGATTGACGCCGCGTTGTCGGAGAGGGGAGGAACGCAGGAAGCAACAGCGAGGGGGGAGGCACAGGGGAGAGCAAACGTGTTAGAATTGGTCCGTGAACGTAGTCAAGTAGCATGCATAAAACATAGCTTGGCAGTGTTCCGGCGAGGAAGTCGAGGAAAGGAGGAGACAATTACCCGAGGGCTGTGTGTTGCGGTGGGGGGGAGTCAGCTCGCGCCCGCAGAGCAACCCCGAAACTTTGGGAATCCAAAGCTCACACTGGACAGGTGATCCACCTTGCCAACTGATAGTAAAGGAGGGGGGCGGGTTTCGCGTTTTAATACTGTCCTAACCAGGCCCGAATGTTCAGCGACTCAATCGAACTATCAATTAACCGATTCCCCACTCTGCTCCGCGTTTCATTCTGCCAAAGTCAAAGCTGGAGTGAAGTTAGTCTTTGAATTCTACCAGGAGCGACCAACAGTACCGTCGCTTGGATAAAATGTTGGCGATGCGCGCTATTTTTAACGCGCTATACAGGGCATACTTTGTCCCCAAAACAAAAAGTATTTGTTGCCCTGTTCGTACATAGCATCAGGGTATTACAAGAATGCAATCAAGCTACTAAGAACCCCCCCTTGCAAAGTATCAGAAGCTCAGCAAAAGAGTCCGCAGGCGACCTACCGGTATGAACAGCTTGGCTTCCTCCAAGACAGGCCGCCACCCGGTTGGCGGCTTGAAGTATGGGTTCAGCTGCACAACTTCCCCAATCGCCTTCCTTCTTTCCAACTCTAGTTGCTCCTTAACTCTCCCCTGCAGATGTAGCATTTCACGCACGTAAGCCCCCACCAACTGATAAAAGACCTGCTTGAAGATGCATTCAGCATCGAATCCACGCCAAACCCTAATGCATCAATTGTTTCTTTGTGATCGGTGTAAACCATCAGGACGTACTTGAATGCACCCAACAAACAAACAGACAAGATCATGACACTCAGCGCTGCATATTTGATCACCGAAGTGATGCCATATGCAGATGTATTGACCCCCCAGCGTCTTAGGGCAAGCACAAGACCTTCCTCTCACCTCTCGAGTGTTGACTCGCTGCCCCATCTCATTGTACACGGGCGGAGGGGACGGCGAGCGGTAACCATCGTCCTCCACTTCAAACCGCTGCTCCTCTAGTTGTGCCTGAATCTGCTCGGCACGACGCTGCAAGCCAGGCATTTGAAATAGTTGAAGAGCTGACATTTCCACTTCGCAAGCTTGGCACCTTAGTGTGGCACACAAAATTTGCAAAATATCATGTAACATTTGTCTCCTCCTGCCAAAGCTCGTAAAGTGCAGAGGTAATAGAGCCTTCCTGCTTCGAAAGAGCAGAATCTGCAACAGATATTGCGAACAACAATGAGAGCTGTACCTGTAGCGCTAGCGCGCGGCTCTTCTTCACAGCCTCATCTTGCAGGGGGTCAGGCCCCCACTTTGTGTTCCTGGGAGGCCTTGGTGGCTCATCCGACTTTGGGTCTACCGACTGCCACTTCACCCCCTGTCCAGCGATCGGCACTAGGGCGCCGGATAGCTTATTCTTAGGAATGACAAAGCTGATTGTCGACTTTCCTGGGACTTGAGACGCTGCTGCTGCTGTATCCTGTTCGGCATCCGGGTTGAGCCCCTTGTGGGCCGCCATGAGGCTGTAAGCCATCTTCTGCGCCGCAGCCCTGGCAGCCTCAATGTCGATGATTCCCCCCGCCCCCATTGGGATTATGCCTGTTTCTGCCATCTTTAAAAGATGTTTCTGGTCCCTCCTCCGACCCTCACTTCATTCAGGCAATCAGCAAGGAGCTCCGCCAAGACAAACTCTGAGTACCCTGAGTACCCTGACTACTCTGAGTGAGGTATTGTGAACACGAAACAAGGACACATAACCAAGCGCTGAGCGCCCCTGAGGCTGCCGCATTCAACTTCAAGGGCATATTCAGACCGAACCTT